TTTGATGAATTTATGTACGTATCTATTTACACCTTGTTCTTTTAATGTGTTAAAGAATATTTGTTAATGATTTTTATACATTTAAAGTGACTTTTTTCACGAATTCGATACAAATTTAGCTAATTAAGGAGTGAAAATGTTTTAATGTTCTTTGGAGCATTTTTAATATTGTTCTTATACATTTAGCATCCTAAAAAACGATTATTTAATACATTTAGCACGTGTTTTAGTGATCTTTTACATACTTAACACACAAAAAATGTTCTAATATGTAAAAGGAACACTAAAACACGTGCTATACATTTAAACACACTTAGCACTAAACTGTGTGTAAAAAATAACACATTTTTAGTGTGGTATGTGTGTAAAAAGAGCACTAAAACATGTGCTAAATGCACACTTAGCACATTTATACGATAAAAATTTATGGAAAAGTATTTTAAAATTTTCTTTTCGCACATTTAGCAATGTTTAAATGTTTTTACATTTTTTACACTAGGTATTAAAACACACTTTAGATAATTTGTACACATTTAAAACTATTTTAAAAACTTTGGATATTTCAACACCTTTGAGCAATGTGTAAAAGAGTTTGAATCATTTTTTGTGCACATTTTAAATGATTTCTGTACATTTAAAGCAATTTTAGACAATTTTTTGAATTATTTTTATGCAAATTTCACCATTTTTTTATAGTGTTAATTTTAATTATGTTATTGTTTTTCATAATTTATGTAAAGTAAAACCTGTGTAAACCGGAATTACACGGTACCGAAATTTTTCCGGCTTGGCAAGTTTCCGTTTTGAACAGGCTCCTTTTTAACAAAAAATCGCTCTGTTCCGAAGAACTTTATTCTCTTAGGCATGTTTCAGGTTCCGCTTTGGACAGGTTTAACTCTGATGCTTGTTAAATTCTATACTAAATTGTATACAGGCGAACCTTCAACAATGGCAACCTCCCACTATAACCATTTTTCGGGAATGCATACAAAATAACCCCCAAACGAGACCACTTTCAACAACGGCCATATTTTTTTTATGTTTTGTCGGTAGCCGTTATTCACAGGTCTGATCTATGTTAATATGCTTTGCCATTTGGTTTATCCAGTAATGTACTGTACATCGTTATTTGGCATATTTTTATGTATAAAAGGTTAATTATTATACTGTAATGAAGATTAAAATTATAATATTTTAGAAAAGAATTATTTCATATTTTTTTAATATTGTATAATAATTATTTTTTGATTTTATTAATATTTTTTAAAATTAATTTTAATTTCTAACAACAGATGGCGACATATTCTCTCCTACATATCTTTTGTTGCCAGTTTAAATTTTATTTATTTATTTATTTATTTATTTTTTTGAATTATAAAAGTTTTCTTTATACTGTATTTATAAAAAAAATTATATTTAAAATAATTGATAAATTTTCGCAAAAAATAAATTATAATTACTATTAATTTAATTGGATTACCGTTTGAAGTTCATAACTGCTGACTTATGGAGAGTTTTAATTCGCTTTATTTATTAAAATCAAAATTGAATAAAAATTTATATAATTAGCTTAATTAGAAAAATAACATGACGAAATTTTTTAAAACAATTTATTTAAATAATAAAAACAGTAATGATGTCATACCAAGTAAAAGAAATTAAGTCGTGTGACGTGTAATCAAATATTGTGACGTCTAACAATTAAAAATTTTTAAATTTGTGCTGCCATCTGTGGTAAAAAAAATCAAGTGTGCATTTTTCGAAGTTTTTTGAATAGTTTCTTTCTTTTAGCTTTAAATGTTTTATTATTTAAAATATTTGTCTTTGATTTAAAGATGAGTTGGGGTTGTATGTTCGGTTTTTGTGACATTGCATTGACCTTGACAGGCAACAGGTCTCTGTAATGCCCGACACGACAATCGAAAGCAAAAAAGTAGTAAAATACAGTCACGTGTTTGGAATAATAAACCAAAACCGAATTCACTTATTCAATTCGCAAGGTGATACCTAAGTAAGGTAAAAAGTGTTGACGCTCTGTTTAGGGAAAAAAGTAATTAATCTAGCTGACCTCTGACCCTTACGTGAAGTATCGGAAGTAGTCCTGCTAGAGTAATTAATCAACTACATAAATACCTTACTGTCAACGAGTGGCATTCAATAGGCCTTTCGGTGCCCTTCGAACGTTCGAGGTTAAGCGTGGGTCAAAGGTCAAATGATGAAATCCAGAGCTTGTTTCCAGTCACGTGATGTCTGGATGTGGCGCCACACCCCCCTCCCGCAGAATTTTTGTTTCGGAAGGGGCTAATACATATATGTGTGTATAAAGGAACAGACGAAAAAGGAACAAGAGTGTCAACCCCTCGCGTGCAATTTCTCCTCGCGCTTCTGAGGACAAATTACTAATTGTTATTTAACGTTATCTTTTCTTCGTCGCCATCTCTAGTGACACTTTACCAATCTGTCGAGTATATGCGACGATAGCCGCAAATCCCTTTAACGTTGTCATGACAACCGATCCTTAGTTATATAGGGATAGATGTTTTCTTGTGGTATTCCCAAGGGAAATAAGACGCAGAGTGCAGATTGCTTCAGATTCTTCTCCGCCCCGGAGGCGACAAAATACTGGACCTACCGAAAATTCTCACTGTAAACAACCAAGACTTAAAAATACAGTACGAGCTTAAGGATGAAATGAGTGTTTCGAATTTCTTTCCTATTTCTCCCCTTCATCTTGTTTTTTTTTTCCATTTTTTAAAGTAGTCGGTGATTGGATATGTTGTATTTTTGTAAGCTGACGCCAACACAGTAGGACGTCGTCTGTTTCTTCCCCCTTTCACATACTAGATTTGTGTTTTCGTCGACTGGATTTTGTCATGTCGATGCAATCAAATGCTACTAACTAGATTGAAACGTGCTGCCATCTATTAGTAATCATTATCAGCGATATATTGTATGTATTTTATTTTTAAAAACTATTTCCAAACTTAAGGTAATTGAAAATATTGTTTTTCTATAAAATACTCGTTTACCTTCTTAAAAAATAAATTAATTGTGTATAAAAAAGTTGAAGTTGATTGATTTGTTACTGTTTTTTGTAACAATTAAAAAACACAGTCGTCAGTTTCATGTAACAATTAAAAAAAACAGTTGTCAGTTACAAAGTGTAAGAGATTTAATTGTCAATTTCCAAAAAAAAATGCAGTTGTCAGTTACAAAGTGTAATAGATTTAATTGTAAATATCTAAAAAAATGCAATTGTCAGTTACAAAATGTAAGAAATTTAATTGTTAATTTCTAAAAAAAAATGCAATCATCAGTTACAAAGTGTAAGAGATTTAGTTGTCAGTTACAAAAGAGGAAACAGATTCTCGAATTATTATTTTAAGCATGAGAATAAAATAAAAAGAAATAATCAATTTTTCAGAAAATCGAATAAAATTTAACTGAAATATATTAAAAAACGTTTCAGCTTCGAAAATAAACAAAAAAAAATTCAGTTTTTTTTCCAAAGGAAAAATACGAAATGTATTTCAAAATCTCAAACTTTTTTCTTTTCCAAAACAATTTTCTAGCCGGAAATCCTCTGTTCTGTTTTTATTTACCTTCCTTTTTTTATGCATCGAAGTGTATATCTAATTTCAAATTTTTGCATTAAAAATATAAATTTATCAGATTTAAATATTTTAAAATAAAATTTTATAAGTTATTCTGAATCTCTTTTTTTCTACGATTATTTAAATTTTTATAAGATTTAATTTTTTTTTCATGGGGAGGTAGGGAATTCTTTACATAAGCTATATTGTTATAAGATTCCTTAAAGTATAAATAATAAAATAAATTAAATAATATTTTTTTAAAATGTATATTTAGATACGAGAAAGACATCAGCATCTTGATCTTTAGTAAAAGTGACAGATTAAAGAGAGGAGGAGAAATTTGATCAGGACTCGTACGCGAAGCACCCTCAAAGCTATTTTTATCTGATAATGTATAAGGCTTTTAAATATTTCTAGGGACCACCCAGATATTCTTAGAAAATCGTTTCGTACAATTTATATTAACATTTATCATTCCTTTTTTAATACTTTAATTTAACTCCTCGTCTATTAAATTAATTAAATATTATTCAAAATATTAATTTTATAGCCATTTAATTTAATTATTCATCACAATAATAGGCAAAGAANCACTCCCAACAACGGCTATTTATTTACGTCCTCGTCAGTGTCCGTCTTAAAGAGGTTTGACTGTATATACTTTTTTTACTGAATTTTTATTACTTTTTAAGGAGGCATTTACGAAAGAATGACTTAAATTATCTTATTATTTTCTCAATATTGAACTTTGATTTTTTTTCCTAATGGAATTTAATATGAACTTTGAACTTTACCCCTTTTTAAAAACTCACATACGATTTATCTCGTGTTCAAATTTAGCAAATCCTAATCAATTTTATTATCTGGATATTATAAATAGGAGCAAGACAAGAGATTAACACTACTTTGATTCACGAAATATATATTTTTTTTATTATTTACTTAAGTCAGAAATGAAAGGTCGAAACGATACGTTTCTATCGTTCACGTATAGTCTCGTCCAATAGGATGACTTCATTCGAATCGCGCCACAGAGCATGTTACACTTAACTTGTCTACGTCACCTGACTTATAAGTGATATTTAACACCAGCTTTGTTATTATTTTCTGTCACCGATGAAGTATACAGTACTTGTCAAACCAATAAAGATAAGTTCACCCATTAACTTATCAGGTAAAATTTTCATTTTTTTAATTTAATTATTCATCAAATTTAGAGGCAAAGAATTATGTTATACATTCTGAATAACAATTTTGAAAGCTATAAACGTATCTAATGTGGTTTGTTTCTTTGTAGATCGATATTTTTCTTTCCTTTTTTATCCCCTTTCTTTGCTTAATAGTCAACTTTAATTTTGAAGCAGGAAAGAATTAATTGTATTTTTTTTATTTTTCCTAATTTAGTATGTTGGAAGTTTCTCGGTAGCTGGAAGTGACCACACGTCACGAGCCGAATTTGTGAGAGCTCAACTGGAAAAGATGAGGGTAAGTATACATATTACCCCATGGGGTTTTATAACTCCCCATAAAAAACAAAATTGCATTTAGCCTGAAGTTGTTTATCTATCATTTGCTACCTTGAGTAATTTCATCTGTAAATAGCTTTGTATTCCATAAAAAATACATTATAGAAAGTTTTTACAAATTTTTTTGAACATTAAACACTCTCTCTTTTGAAAGGTAGCAGACGTACATAACTTTGATGACAGGCGGTGAAGCAAACACAACGGGGGTCATAATGAAGTGTTTTTAAATTCTGTATAAGAAAAATGCTACCAAATACTTTAAAATGGTTTCTATTCAAATTTTTATTCTACCGGAAAATAAAATTTATTTTTTATTATTAAATTTATTAATTTTTTTAGATAAAATAAAAAAAAGTAAATTTTACTGAATATTTCCCCCATCCTTCCATCTACTACTCCTCCTCCTCCATTTTTTCCATTATTAAATATATGTATATATATTAAAAAATTTTTTTACTTTTATTATATTAAATTATTAACTATTATTAAAATGCATTTTATTGTATAATAAGTTTTTAAAACAATTAAATTTTTAATCATGTTTGTTTGCATGCACTATCTGCCTTAGGACATGATATAATTGAATTTTTAAACTGAATTTATGAAGTAAAAAATAAAAATAAAACTATTATAATTTCAATATTGATCCTCTAGCGTGTTACATTATCCCTCTGGTATAGTAGACATAATTAAGATAAAAAAAAAAAATAATAATAATTTTTATTCTCAACATAAGACCATTATGTTTATTAATTTCTGTGATACAATGGAAATAAAAGTCGTGGTATCTGGGGAAAGAAGATTAAAAAGCTTGGTTCCTGGTTTAGAATTAATTAATTTAAAAAGGATTGAATAAATAGGTGAATGGACAAAGAGATGGAAGGTAGAATATAGTCATTATTTTCATTCATTAATATGAGTGAAATAGTTTTTTTACAAATTAAAAAGTTAGGAAGAGAAAAAAGTAAAATTGGAAATAGGTCAGAATCTTTCAGGCAAACAGAACAAGACAGATCAAAGGATAGATAAACAATCAAGCAAATAAGTTAGAACAAAAAAAATAGGGATCCTACATAAACAATCAATCAAGCATGACAGTTAGGGAAAGGTACATAGATAAATATAATTATAATGATAATTTATATCTGCTCATAAATGATAGACAAACAAAATTTTTATTCAATTTTTAATTTACATAATTTTTAGATAGTAAAAAATAATAAAATATATATATTATTGTTTGTTGGGATTAAGATTTATATCCATATTTTAATTTGTGTTTGAGTTATATAAATGTTAGTATGGCTATGAAATATGTCCAGTGTTTAAGAAGATACAGCACAGGCCCTATCTAGTTGTATCAAAGATGATGCATAACATGATCATTCAATGTCCATCCCGGTTGGTTATTTATGGTCCTTCACCTAAAGGACCACCTGCTGAACATTAAAAGTGGCACATGGAATGTTTCTTTTCCTGTATTTCTTGCACTTCAAATCAATTAGTGACAACAATTATATAGTTTTCATATATAAATGATAGTTTAAAGGTAACATTTTAATTTTCTTTTCTGTTTATTATTTAAAATTTATGGAAATTTTATTTTAAATAGTTCATTTGAGTAATGGCATATTTTGAAATGAGAAATTTTGTAGATAAATGTAACAGACAACACAAAATTTATTTAATTTCATTAAGTAGAAGAGGAGGAGGATCCGCTGTCAACGAAGTAAAGGATGTTTGTGTCTGTCTGACTATCTATAGATGTATGTTTATGTATTTATATCATTTATATACGCTGTGTACGTACTGTACGCCCCTATGTATATATATGAACAGATTTTTGTGTTTATATACATTAACGTTTGCAAGTTTTTATATAGTATGTAAGTTTTCATTATATTTTTCAGTTAATTTCCGCAAGATTTATATATACTGTGTAATATAATCTCTAGTTATGAATCCACTATAAAAATCTATATAAGTCAATACCGAGAATAAATACTACCTTTTAGACATTGAAAATCTTTAATTAAAGCAAAGAAACCGAGATTATTTTAATCATTAATTGTATTTCCAGGTTAATTTTTTTCTTTTTTTAAAGGAATTACTGGATTTCGATGCAATTACTTTTTCCGATTGTTGAATTAGGTAAAACTGTTCTAATGAGAAAACAGGGGGAAAAAGAGCGAGAGAAGTATATAAATAGTCGTGAATTTTTAAATAATTGGAATTGTCTGTATAGATTTTTTCCTTTAGGTTAGCAATTAATTTACTTTTGTTCTTCAAAACCTGTTGCTTATACCCTTATAAATATATATAGAGAATGAATATAATGGTCCTTTCCCCCTCCACATATAAATGAGCGAGAGGAGACCAGCGGTCTTATCCCTCTCCATATACATTAATATAAAGAGTGAAGGAATAGAGGGGGGATGGAGAGACATTAAAAAGGCCTCGCTAGCTCAGATAACGAGAATTAGCCAGGCCCCGACGAGGAAAGATCCTAAAATTTAATCTTCCATTCCTTCACTTCTAATTTTAACCTGTGTAAACCGGATTAGCACGGTACCGAATATTTTCCGGTTTGAACAGGTTTTACTGTATATATATATATTGTTGATTTTATTCACAGAGGAGGGATTTTACGTTTGTACTATAATTAGCTCACTGCTTTTATGCCTTTTTTTCAGGCCCCACGTTTGTTTGGTCAGGCTTTCTCTCGGGCCCTAATTTAATATTTTAACAAAAACATTTAAAGAAAATAAGTTTATTTATATTTCTAAAGATTAAAATATTAATAAATAAATACAATCGGAAGGTGTTGGATCCATTTCGATGAGAAGTTTGATCGTATTTTAGCGAATTTTCAAGATATATTTATGAATATTTTAATGACATGCCTGCAATTTTCTGATAATTTTATAGACTTTTAGGCTAATCCTCAAGGTATTAAGTAATAAAAAATATTGTATAATATCTCGAGGATTTTTTCCAGATATTTTAGCGAATTCTCCATCATATTTTAAATATTTTTACAAGAAGTTTTGGTCACTGTTTTATAAAATATGTATTTTAAGGTATTTAATTATTAAAGTATTATATAAAAACATCCCTTACATAATTTACAAAATTTTGAAATTTTAAATAAAAGTAATGTTTTGCAACCTTTTAGAAGAACTTTCTCAATTTTTAGTCAATTTTAAATTCCTAACTGATTTATTAAATTATCTAAAAACTTTTATTTTATTTTATATTAAAGTATGCTTTCTTATGTACTTTTTATACAGAACCTATTCAAAATACCTTTCTATTAAGTATCTTTTATCAAAGAATCTTTGATTAGTGTACCCGTTAAGTACCTTTCATTAAAGTATCTTCTGTTAATTATCTAGTATTGAAGTACCTTATGTAGCATTAAGTATCTATCGTTAAAGTACGTTTTATTAATAAGCAGTACTTTAATAATAGGTAGTTATTAAATGCCTTTCATTAAAGCCCCTTTTTATAAAGAACCTATTATGCATCTTTTATTGAATACTTTACTAAAGAATCTTTCAATAATACCTGTTAAGTACCTGTTTTTTGTTCCTTTCTTTTTGTTAATTATCTTATATTGAAGTATCTTTCACGAAAGCCTCTTTTATAAAGAACCTATCAAAGTACTGTATCTTTCATTCTGTAATTACCTTTTGTAGAGAGCGTAGTATTAAGGTTTCTTGTGTTAAATATTTTTCACAGCTGCGGTTCTCAATTTTTTTTCCAGTCGCCTATCACTCGAGCCTTCTGTGTAATAGACTGGCCAACCACCTTACTCTTCTTTGTATAGTCTCGCCTACCATCCCAACCTTCTATGTATAGATTCGCGTACTCCTGAGCCTTCTATGTATAGACTCACCTACCACCTGACCCTTCTATGATTAGACTTGCCTACCACCTGAATATCCTGTGTATAGACTCGCGTACCACCAGTTGAGAACTGATGCTTTATAGAGTACGTTTCACATATTTTAATACAATTTTTCCAACCCAAAAGTGTTTAAACTTCAGAAAAATTTTACAATTTTAATTTTTAAAATTAGAAAACTTTTACACAATTCCTTCATGTAAAAATTAGAATATTTTTCAAAACAATTTTTTATTTTTGAAAAGAGAGAGGGGGAGAGGGAGAATATATTATTATTATTTTTTTAATCCTTTTATTTAGAAAAAAATTTGATTTAAATGACAAAAAAGCCAGCCTTTTTTTAGAATTAATAAAATATTTTTGGGTACATCTCACGTTCATTCATGCATTAAACAGTTTGATAGACTATTACCGAAGTGAATGACAATTTTTCCTTTATATATATATAAAATTTTCAATAGAGGATCCCTTGAGTGATCTAACTAACCGATAAAATCTATTTGATATTTCAGAATCAATCAAAAAGATAAGAGGATGAACGAAGAACGAAAAAAAAAAAACTAAATACAGAAGTTATTTCTCAGATTTCAATTTCAGATGAGATCGATCAATGGAGAGAATACATTAAAAAAAATAATAATGATAAGTCAGAAATTATGATATAGATGAAATTTATCAGTAACAAATATGAAATTGTCCACAGAGATTGATTATAAGAATTTCCTTATTTCAGGAATTGACATTGAAGAGTAATTACAGTGAAACCTGTGTAAAGCGGACTCGTGCTGTACCGAATATTTTTTTCCGTTTTGAGCAGGTTTCTTTTTAATGTAGAAAGTCGCTCCATTCCGATGAATTTTTTTCTTGTTTTATCCAGGTTCCGTTTTGGACAGATTTTACTGTGTTTTTTCTGGTTTAGCAGTTTCCGTTCCGTTTTGAACAGGTTTTTTTTTAATGTAGAAAGTCCTTCCGTTTCGAATAATTTTTTTTCAGTTTGGGCAGGTTTCCGCTTTATTTAGGTTATGTTTTGGACAGGTTTTACTGTATATATTTTTGTTCTTATTATCATTTTTAAATACTTTTTCTTATTAGACGTGCATTGATTTTGTTTATTTACAATTTCTTCAGAAATTTTGTCCTGTTAATTATGTAAGATTTAGCTTTGTTATACAGAAAAATTTTCAGTTTTAACTATAGTAGATTGGAATTTTATTCTGTATTACACTTTCAAACTGTAGGGTGATGGTAATTAAAAAGTATGTGTTCAGAGCTCTCTGTAGAAAGAACTATTGGGGCAATATCTAGCAAATGTGGTGTACATATTTCCTTGAGTATGCAGTTTCGATTTCCGGGAGGAAATTTTTTACTTCAAAATTTAGCCGCTAGGGCGAAATTTGGCGCTGCAACCCATTAATGTGCATATTATGTAGGTTTTTCAAGTATAAACGGAGTCACAAAAGGTTTCTCACATTATTTCGAAAGGTGAACAGCTATGATGCGTATAATAACTTTGCTTAACTCTCTACATTCGTACGAAAACGTACATATTGAGACAGTGACGCCAAATTTCTTTCTAGCGGCTGAATTTTGAAGTAAACTTTTTTCCGAAAATCGAAACTGTATACTCAGAACAGCATGTATACCAAATTTGGTTGAAATTGGCCGATAATTCTTTTTACAAAGAGCTCTGAATTCCTACTCTCTAGTTATAAACATACTGTATTTAGGATTTTCAAAAATTTATTTAGGAAATTTCGCAATTTTATTCAGGAAATTTCTAAAATATTTTGGCTCTAAAATTATTTCTTATTCTTCTGAAGATATACACAATAAATTACGAAAATATCTTCCTATTTCTAGAATATTTTTCAATTTTATATATATACTGTATATATATATTAAGGTATATTCAAAGTTTTGAGAGTATTTTTATTATTCAGGATATAAATTCATCCTGAATAAACTAAAATATATTATTTTTATAGTCCTGAATAGTGAAATATTATTGAAATATAATAATTTATNTTTATAGTCCTGAATAGTGAAATATTATTGAAATATAATAATTTATTTGATATTTTACTGTTATTCTTCGACTACATTTGAAATTTATGGAGTTACTTCTCAGATATTTTGCTATTTTATTTAGAATATATTCGTAAATTTTCAAAATATTTTTCTTCTACAATGATATATTGCTATTTTCCTTGAGTTATATTCAAAATTTTGCATATATTTTCTTATTTTACTCAGTTTATTCTGGATATATTCGGAGTTCTGTCGCGACGTTGTTTACTATTTTCTTCAGGATATCTTAGGAAATTTTAATGTATCTTGCTTATCATTTCCTTCCAAAAAATTTAAGTTTCTTTTTAGAATCTTTTTCTTACGATTTTAATAATTTTTATCAAAGTAATTTATTTAATTGCTGTATCTTTTCTTCCTTTATCATTAGTCAATAAACAAATAAACAACAGAAAAGTACCAGAAGAAAAATAAAAGTACTGTATGTAGTTGTAATATATTATTACAAAGATAAAATTTACAAGAATTTATCTAAATGTTCGTTTTTATTCTTTTCTTCCTTTGTACAAAGTTATATTGTGATTTTCTTTTCACTTTTTTTTTTTTAAAGGATAATTTTTAATTTATTCAGGATTCAATAGAAATTTTTATGATATTTTCTCACTTTTTAAATATATTTTAATTATTATATTCGAATTATTTGTTATTTTCTATATATTTTTTCAATATTGTTATATTTTTACTTTCCCTGCTATTATATATAACAGAGGAAAAGTAAAAAATTACCTTTCCTCCCAAGATTTTTACATTTTTCGATTCAGGAAAGCTTGAAACGTCAAGAAATGCAAAAATGGGGGGTTTCTGTATGTATGCATGTTAGTGTATGGTGGGCAGTTTTGTTCACCTCTTTGAAGCTTAATAACTCCTGTGTCTTTTGTCAAAAATTTCTGAAATTTTACAGGAAAGTTTGTATATTAAAGGGATTGATTCTATTAAATTTTGGTGGTTAAAAGTCGAGGGGTTCGGGAGATAGAGGGGTTCGAACTTAATTATTTTACTCGTTATTAGCGTTCACATTTTTTTGTTTTTTTTTTAAATAAAATCCATCCCTACCCTCAAAATTAAGCTTTTCGCCAATTTATATTAATTAATAACATAAAAAAATATTTTTAAATAAAATATCATAACAGATGGCGCTACACGCAATTTTACATGTTTTTGCCAGGAAAGTTAAGCAACTTGTTGTTAGATTCTTATTTTTAAAAAATATTTTAAGGATTAAAATAAGATAATTCATAAATCTAACGACGTATTTCGATTTGATATCCTGACAGATAATTCTGAATATGAAATTATTAATTTAGGATATATCTCCGACATATTAAGAGGTCTGTATAAAAAAAATCTATTCGGAACATCCTGAAAATTGCCAAAATATATCCTGAAGATATCATTAACGTATCCTGATATAGTTATGTTATTCAAGGTATCTTGAATATATCTTGAAAATATTTTATGATATACAGTGTATTGCTCTAATACTCTGAAAAATTGAATAAATATACTTAATACATCCGAATGAATTTAGGATATCATTAAGGTATATTTTGGTATCTTTTAAGGATATCAGAATCAAGATATCCTGAAAAAATATAGAAATATCTTCAGCATATGTCCTGAAGATATCTTAAATGTATCAGAATATGTTAAGGACGTTCGGACCACAATTTAATATTTTTCAGGATACCAGCATTCTGCATTAAGGATAACTTCATTGCCTTTTTCGGTTATCTTCATATATAATTTTTTTGTGATTTTTTTCTAGAATTTCTTTATGATCTTTTAGCGAATT